TTGGTCACTCATGTTCTTGAACAGAGTCTTAGGACTGTGAAGGCTTCAAGCCCGGCATCAGCCGAGACTTCACCTAGGCCTAACGGTTTTCTCGTGTGTATTGCCTCAGAAAGAGAATCTTAAGGTCTTGCAAGCAGGTATTTGCCTTCATTTTATCCTCTATGTATTCTATCGGATGCAGCAAGAGTGGTAGGAAAAGATAAATCCTTCGTATTTTAATCGGTGTATTTCAAAATTCCAATTGAAGGCAATGATCATATTCCATATTCTCAACTTTCTCTGATTCTTTTGCGGAAAGGAAGGTGATCACCAAAGCATCTCTTCGCACGCTATGGTTACTATTTCGATCGCCGATCCAGAAAGAGTAGGGAGTAACAGATGATTCGTTCGAAAACATTTTTCAAATGAATGCGTTGAAAAGCAAAAGTGCTGTCCCGTCACGAAGCTCCATTGCGAATAAAAAGCCGGGAGTAGCAGGGCCAAACATCTCTGATTCAATAACAGTCAAAGTATTTATGACGTTGGAGTGCCTATTCCGAATCCATGGTCGCACAGTGCTTTCAGAAGCATGCAAGGAAAAGGTGTCAATTGAAAAGCTTTGACGATATCTTGAGTTGGCGATGAATAGTTTGAACATTTGGTATCTTGACAGCGGAAATGGAGTCAGTACGAAGTGGATTCTTTTGCACAGGTTGTTTAATATTTTCAGTCATCGCAGTACATCAAGAAGACATGGGAAGACTCATGTGAAGGATGGCTGCCGTACCTGAACACCCGCGATCTGATACGAGTATCTAGTGTTATGCACTTGAAGTTGTACAGAAAAGTAAGCCCAAAATATTATCATTCACGCAATTTCGGCACACCCCCACGAGCTGTTGAACATGCGGTATTACGTAACAAGTACAAAACTGCTATAGAGATATGCACCAGCAATGAGGAGTGAGAAAGATTTACAGGATAGTTAATCAAGTAGATTATCGATAATTCAACGTTCATGATGCAACATGAGCAATAAAGCAGATAAAGAAGGTTCCCGTACAGTGCCGAAAACGATATGTGTCATCGGCTGCCATATATTAGGTCATTTACTGAATGTCCAGCAATGCCAGGAGAGCTGATCTTACTAATGACGTCTTTCTGGTTCCGATGAGGGAAAACTAAGACCAGTGGTCAGAAAGTCACCTGATCGAAGCTGCGTTTCGCAGGGATTGCGGTAGTCTGCACTGGTGAAAAATTTTGTAACGGTCAAATGTGCCTTCCTCTTGTGCTTGAGCACTTTGCGTCACTGCTTCCAACATTTTTTTTTGTATTCTTTCAATAGGCCCTATTGATCCTTCATTTTTGCCTCATGACAGTGCCATGACAGGTGTGACATTACACTTGTTCGTTTGGAAGATGGAATATTCTCTCCTGGTCTTGCTGTAAATAGCGGTTGCGTGCTCGGCCATCATTTTGCAAATATGATTCAATTATTGAATGTGTGATAACTGCAGTTCATTGCGATGAGGTCGATAAGGGATAGCACCGATAAATAGCAGAGAGAGTCACGTAAACTCGGTCTGATATTTATTTTCCGGTGTAGCTTTTATTTCAGGCTTTGTATTTTGCATCGGCTGTGTATTCGATTTACGGTGTAGGGCCTTGACTGTTGAGGGGGGCGCCATTTCCCATTTAGCATGTTTGGTCTATGGTGCTACACTGGTATGAAGCGAGCCATCCGATGTTCATCAAGTCGTTTGTAGAGAGGTTCTTTTGGTTACTGCTATAACCGTAGGTTTTTTTTTTCTTCGAGCTCAACACAGTGCGGTAGGTACAAGGAGACATATATCATTTGAAGTATTTCCGCTCTACAAAACCTTGTTTGTTATTTTCTTCTATATTGTAAATGTACTCAGATATGGTGCTTAGAAGTTGGAAACTCAGGTGGGCGAAAATATAAAGAAAAAAGCTGCCAAAATGGGAGTTTTTCGGGATCCTATCGTCATCATCGAACCTTACTCCGATCGACCCTCAATTTCAAATCATATTCACGTCGTACATATTGAGAATAATGAGGACTCTGAAAACGGGCTCAGTACCCTTTTTTGAATTCTAAACCCGGTAATTTTTCGCGAAATGGAATCAAAGTCGTATATAATGACGAGAAGAACATCACTGATTAGTTTTATGCTTGGCTTTGCTTTTGGGTTTTGCTTTGACGTTATGCACCAACCCAATACTTATGCCCACATCCTTGGCATTCTATTGCATAAACTGTACCTCTTAGTTGGCATATTTTGTCGTCCTTACAGTAGATGCAACCATTCCTCCCACATTTATCCTCGTAAGGTCTGGAGTATGTCAGCAGTCGCTTCAAGTTCGGGGGTGGGCGGAACACAAGTCGTACTGGGAGCGAGGAATTCCTTACGACATTGTTGACCTTCCATGCTGTTTTTTCGTTAACATACGGCATTATCATGGTGATCCCATCAGGTGTGGAGTACGGTCTCCATGATTGCAAGTTCGTATTGGAATATCCGTTTTCTCTCAAAATACGTTCCACCATTATGTCTACTTCACTTGAAGGCTGACTGCAGACTTTATCCTTGGTTGAAATCAGATTGCGGACGACGTTGGCCTTCATGTAGATGGGGTGGCAACTTCTAGCATGTAAAAGTATATTCCTCGATGCAGGTTTCTTGTAAAATCATTCATTTATACGAACTCGGAAATTGAGAAAAGAACAAACCCTCCTCATTTGGCTCTTCGACCGTGAATTTAATGTTGGGATCTTGTGAATTGAGGTTTCTTAGCGTGTCTTCTAAATCCCTCGTGGAAGAGCCAATAATGAACACATCGTCAATATACTTCTTGTACAACGCTATCCCAGGCAAAGAATCCAAGAATATTATTACTAGTAAGGGTGCTATTCTTAGCCCCATGGCTAACTCCTCGGTGTTGTTTGTATAACTTGCCATCAAACTGGAAAATATTGCATTCTAAAGTTGCCATAAGTAACTCCCGAAGATCTTGTTCCTCCAGGCCCAGCGTGTAAACTTCTCTCCTATATTCCCTCCACATTGCTAGAAGAGCCTCAACTGCATCCATTGTGTTGATGTTGGTATACAGGGAAACTGCATCAAAACTTGCATAGCTGGCATTATTTGGGATGTGGCATTGGTTGAGGAATATATGAGGGAACATGATGCAAGAGTGGGGAGAAAAGCCTAACCGAGTAACCAACTGATCCTATCTGATGGACCACCACAACTAGAGATAATGGGACGAGTCTTAATGTCCCTGTCCGTTAAGTTATCTACCGCCGTGTTCCCGAATTTATGGGTCTTGACCATGGAGTAGTAGGTAGGAATAGTTGGAGAGGTCAGTGTAAACGTCGTACTTTTCTAGCGTCCAACTTTTTACCTAATATAGTTTTAATTTTTCCAGTACTCCGGCAGTCTGGATGTGGGCATAAGTATGTTGGAGAAACAAGAAGACCTCTCCTACAAACGACTTGATGAACATCGGAGGGCTCTACAAAATCCGGCCTCATATCCAGGTAACAGCTTCTCCAAACATAGATTTTAGCAAAATAACGGTCGTAGCACGTCCACGCTATTTAAGGGTAAGACCAGGGTAGGGAATAGTTCCTGCTTCACAAACCAACAGGGTGGTAAGTGTTACACTTTGTCAGTGGACAGCAGGTGGAGTCAGTTAATATATTTTAATATATTAACAGACTTTAAGAAAGCTTCTAATTTTCATTTCAGGCTCGACAAAGGCGCTAAGCGCCGAAAGCTCGCCAAAAAGGCCTAAACTTTTGCAAAACTTTTGCAAACACACATTTTTGCAATCTCTTTTGTATAAAGTTTTGAGTCTTTTGCAATAAATATTTGGAGTCTCACATTGTTATCGACACATTTAGGTCAATAGTATTCATGTTGAAAAAGTCTCCAAACTCGATGCCAATAAGAAGTAAATAAGTTGGACGTCACAGCGTCGATGCCCAAGCTTGGGGTTGTGTAAACACCTTGTAAATTTTACCTTCCAATGCTATGAATGTATACGTGAAATCAAATTGCTTACTTACCAGGAAAGGCATTCAACTTCCCATGGAACTTTGAGATGAGACCCAGATATATCGATAGAGCTTCAAACGCTGATTACAAATATGGAAAACTAAAACTGCAAAATGAACTTGCCAAGGAAGTTGTGAGCAGTCAAAGTTGGCTGGAAGTAAAGCATCACACTAGCCTCCGGGCTTTCATAGTCACCGCGGAGCAGTGGTGGTGCCCTCGCTATTCACCCTGGAGGTCATAAGCTCTCCTCCCGTCGGAGCGCAAATTCCGAGAGCACTACCACTACTCCACGACGACTTTGAAAGCCCAAAGGCTAGTGTAATGCTTACCTCCCAGCAACTTTGACTGCTCACAACTTCCTTGGCAGGTTCATTTTGCAGTTTTAGTTTCCATATTTGTAATCAGCATTTGAAGCTCTATCGATATATCTGGGTCTCATCTCAAAGTTCCATGGGAAGTTGAATGCCTTTCCTGGTAAGTGTTTACAGCAGCGCTTTTTGCTTCATTAATGAAGTGCCATTTAAGAGGACAGAGCCAGAATGTAGCTGCCGGCTTCAAACGTGACACAGGCTCGAAGGCTTCGAATGTCACAATGTATTTGGTGGTTCCTTCTCGTACTTCTCGCTTTGGCACTTGGCAATAGGCGTAGAATCGCAGAGGAATCCGTATCTTTTCCTCAGACATTTTTTTCAGAGGCTACAGCTGTATCGCGGAAAAAAGTTTCTATTTGTGTGCTTCACCGTAGCACACGAGTGGCAATCCTACGATACGTCTGGAAAAGAGTGAGCGAACATACAAATATGGAACAATGGATTTTTCTGAAGCGCGAGATATCTGACTGCAGGACATATTCATGAAAGAATGCGATTACATTCAACAAAATTGCTCGTAAACAGTTTCCAAACACAATGATATTGTAGAAATGCAATATAAAGGGCAATGGCTAAACTACTGCAAAGCATTCACACAAAATGTTGCTCGTTCCCGCAGCGGCTGGCTGTTCCACTTGTGAATGTGCATGTGCACAGTCGTGAGTGCTGATATTTTGTAGCTGGTGCGGGAAGCGACTAATCGTGGATTCCTCATTTCCTTTTAGAAAACCCACTTCATCGACACAGCAGTGAGAAGAATCTCCCATTTTTCAGTCGATTTAAGGCCCATGCCTCAGGATGTGAAACAAGTTTATAAAGATTTTTTCAAAATGATCAAAAAAAGACTGGTTAGTCATGTTTTACCTTACACCTATGGAAGAAGAGGCAGTGGTATGTTCTATATTTACCTTATGCGCAATTCCATTCATGTTAATTGTTATGACCTTAACCATAACTCGCTCATGGTGCTGAAGTTATCTATCGTCATTGGTATCAGAAAATTTATCTGATACCAACTGACCTTCAATAGCATGAGTTCAAAAATAGGATTCATCACAGAATCTATTCGAAAGCATATCTTTGCCTACAGAATTGGAGTGATATCATATCGCATCAGGCTCTCACAAGAATAGTCAAGGGAAAAGGGACTTTGAGATATCCTTGTGTCATGTTCACCACTGTTGAGTACGTTTAAGGAATTTTACGCTGCAGGTTCTTGTAAATTCATTGTTTTTTAAGGGAATTTCCGTATGGTAATGAGATGCCACTGGCGCAAAAAGTGCTTTTCGCCCTCTACGGTATGCTGCAATACTGGTGGAGGGTAAGTTTTTAGATGAACAATTGGATGTAGATCTTTGACAAGTGTTAGACGAGTGTTAAAATGACATTAAAACTAAGCTCTACTGCTGAGATGTTGAGTCAATAGAAAACCGAACGGCAAGTGCTGTTCATGTTAACTTCAGGCGCTCATAACTATCACTGCTCGCATGCCATTGCCGGTTCTCATGGTTTATGATTTTCTCAATGGCGGTCGTGGTTTGTGATGAGGTTAGGTTTTTTGGGGTTTTTGAGGTTAGGTTTGAGACTTTGAGGCGCAGTAAATTAGTGCAGTCCTCAAGAACCATAAGCATACCATGCCGTGAGCCATACCATGTTTGCGCTTGGTTGCGACCAATTCATTCCCAAAGTCGCGTGGTTTCTGCCTTTCACATTTGCTGCAACA